TCTTCAGATGCTCAGTTTATTTTTTGAGAACAATTATTTAAAAATAAAATCTCTCAGTCAATCAGAAATTCGGATTCGTGCCTTCAGGGAAAGTCATGTTTGGACGCTCACATCGATTTTGTTTTTCGTTCGGTGGGCTGATGCCTTCAGTGTAGCTTTTGCCTCTTCCGACATAGAAATCATCTGAATCTTCTTTCTACCTCTCTTTCTTTTCACACCACGCATAATGTAATGATAAAAATTAGGAAAAAACGCTGAGGAAATATAATGTTTGGTTTGTTAGCGAGCGAGAACTGATTTGAGATGAATTGCACATGCGCGTGAATTGAATGAACCCGTACAATATCGATTTGCATATTGTCAATCAAAGGTCCTGTTATTTGGTTACTCATGCAAATTAGGCAATTGGACATAAACATTGCCACGTGTGAGTGTTTTTTATTTTTAACCAGAAATAAAACAGCAATTTTAACGGTGTTCCAATAAGAATTCATTGGTCAAATTTTCACAGAATGTTCTTTAGATAAAAATCCATATAAAAAACGAAAAAAACTATTTTTGATTGAAATTCACAAATAAACTGCATCTCTACCTTAATTGTCCAGGTAACAAAGAATTTAGTCATTAATAAAATGGGAAATGCACCAGGATTGACATGGATGACTCATCAAATGCCACAAGTGGAGAATTTGGTTCATGGTTCAAGTCACTGTACATATTACAAAGCTTCTGTGAATTATTCAGACAGATGGCTTGCAACTTTGCAAAACAATTTGGAATTTGCCGTGCCCCTTGACAGATGGCATGCTGCGTGTGCTCCACTTCACTATATTTCATAGGGCGATCAACATGATGATTTGCAAATCCAAGTACACATATTCAACAAATACTGTAGAATACTTTATTTTCGCTTGGAATTTATTTTCACTATTTTCGCTGAAGGGATGATTCCGTGAAAATAAATTCCAGCGAATATACTTTTTTTCCTATATTTCACATTAAACTCATCAAAAATCAGTGAAAATAAATTACATAAAGAACGCCCAAAAAGCCTTTTCAGCGAAAATTAATTCCAGCGAAAATATAGTATTCCACAGTATTCTTAATTTGCTATCTACACTCAAGTATAATTCAAGAAATATCCAAAATACTAGTAGCCTGATAATAGAACGATCTAAACTGCAAGTGTCAATGTAACAGCCCCACCAAGTTCAGAGAGGACAAAAATCAAAGTGGCAAACCATCTCGCTAACTGTCCTTTTTCCTTTATAGTATGTCTGTTAAGCCATTCAACTATAGAAATGATATTTTACCTCGATATGATGTCATCATCATCATCATCATCAAGCACATCCTCATCAGTGTCTTCATCAGCATCAATAGCAACCACTTCCACATCAGTATTGCTATCACTATCAGAGCTACTTGAAGTGATATCAAATTCCATCAACTGATCAAATAGATGTCTCCTTTCACGACTTGGACCTGCAACAGGTTCATCATCATCTATTATCTCAACTGGAGTGGCATCTACCGAGTTTGTAGTTGATGTGCACATGGCACCGCTTGCAACGCCACTGGATGTTGGGATAAATCCAAGAAAAGATTGAGAATCTGGCTCACTGACACTAACAATATCTATGTCTGAATCCTCATCAGAGGTATCTGAAGGCATCAGCCAATCAAGAGGGTCATGCATAGTTTGATTGAAGTCGTGAGAAGGATTATTCAATCCACTCGTTGATGGCATTACATTTACGACATCATCATGGAAACCTCTCCCGGCACTGACGACTTGTGAAGTATTGTTTGTCGTAACTGACGGGTTTGTGTGACTGCTGCTACTCACTAAGGTGGGGGATGGACGTCGAAAAGCGGAGCTCTCACTAATGTTCAACTCAGTCCTTTCAAGATTGAAACTTCTTGACTGGTGTGGATGCATCGGCAACATAGCTCTTTGTTGTTGTAAGTAGGCACATGTTGGTCGAAAAGCTGTCTTGGCCATGCCCAAGCTAGGTGCAAGATGATTTTCCTCACTACCGCTTAGTAGTGGATCATGAAATCCCATCAACCCCGGCACAGGATGGTGAACCCCAGAATTGAGTTCATTATTTAGCGTCCTCTCAGAATTCGGTAAACTAAGATCAAGAACCTCCTGTTCATGATCTGCTTGTGATGGGTGCAAAAGTAAATCTTCCCCAAGCCCATTTGGGAAAAAGTTTTGTTGGTTTGTGGGCACTGATTCTAAATTAGGATTTTCATTTGTAGAGTTTAATGAAGTGGATGCCGCCTCCCTGTTTTGCAGATGCTCACTAGGACTCTTATTCATACGATTCCTTTTTTGTTTTGTGTCACTATTCTTTACTTTAATAGTCGAGTCTGGTTTATTCGGTGAATTGTTTACTTTTTCTTCCGCTACTTTTTCAGCCCGCTTTTCAAATTTGGATAAATCCACTGCTCCTTCCACAACATGCTCAAAATCTGGAAAATAATCCTGGCCATTTATTGTTGTTGACTGCGAGTCTGCATCCAAGGAAACAACATCAATCTCATCTTCATCACTTGGGTATCTTGGTACTTCATCAGTAAGCAAGCCTATCAAAACAAATTCAGAAATTGTGTTAGTTTTTATGTTAAAAATTGATTTTTATAAAAATTATAGAAATTTTCTTTATAAATTAATCAAAGTGCTATGTGGTACAACAATACCAGGAAGTTCGGGATATTAGTGATTGCAAACACAGAATTTGATGGGCTGAGAAATATAGACCTGGTGTATGCTCAAGAAAACCCACAGGGTTGAACTTTTTGGCCTTCACATTGTCGATCTGAATCTCATCGCTACTGATGTAGAAAGCTTTCAAACCACATTTCATCATATTTCTGTACATGTACTTGCTTTTACATACAGAGACACCAGTTGAGATACTACATGTATGGTCCTTGAATGTCCATTGGAATTCTTGTTTGTCGTCCAGGGAGAAAAGCACAACAACAACCTCTCAAAACATTTTATAGCCCAGTATTGTTATCAACACTATCTTGCAATGCCATGAGATCTCAAAATATTTTGAAATTGGAGCGATCAGTGTCTAATAAAATATCAAGGCAAATTTTGACCTTGCTGATTGGTGAAATATTATTGAGCCTGTCAATCATTGCATCACAGGCAGAACCCCAGACTGGTGACAATTATCAAGAGGAAGGCTACAAAGATCACTTGGCTTTCACCATTTATAAACTACAAGTCTACCACTATGGCTGAAAGTAACCCAGTCCTATCTTACCTGTATTTCTGTTGTCAGTAATATAATCATCAGTGTCATCTGTTAAAACATCAGAATTGTTTGAACTACTGGGAAGATGAAATCTATCAGTTCCTATTGGTTGAGATGCCATCAATGCTGGATAGAGATCTTGTTCAAGATTAGTAGCAGCACTACAGCTTGGTTCTGACATTCTAAAATCACTGTCAAGTCGGTGCACCTACCAGAAAAAGTAATTAAATTTCATTAAATTTTGATCTTAGATTATACTTGGTACTGTCTATTATCGTGGAAAATTTAAGAATAAAATAGACTAGTGAATCAGTCTGGAGGGCAGTGGGTAGGGCCTAGGGTCAGTCTGCACATGTAAGTTTCCATGGTAATGAACTGAAGTCGGCATATCTATGTAGTGATTCACCAGGCCAATCTTGAGCACACTAGGAAGGGCATTCGGAATGGCTGGATCCCAAACTAATCACAAATATCATCTGGATCATATTTCCAAATGACAACTGTAATTTTGCTCTACACAAACATTGATAAAATAACAATATAACAATGATCCTATTATAACTTTTACTGTATACACAATATCTAAAGATGTGTTTGGTTAAATTTATTGGAAGTCTACTGGGCAACCAGTTGTAAAAGATGGTAGTTCATTAGTGATATTCATCAAAATTGGAGAACTTTCTCAAGGCCAACCTACTAGTATATCAATCTCTTCTTTTTCCACTTCTTAAAAACAGCAGAAAATTACATTTCTGCAGATTTGCAGGATCTTCCTGTTTGACGATCAAAGATGAACAAAAACACTATTAAAATCAAGATCCCATATGAAGCATTTCATGCACACCAGACTCTTGAGTTGTGTCCTGTAAAGCCCTTAAGTCATTCCATTTTCAAAGTATTCAACAACTATTTTACTTTTAAGGCCATCGTGTCTGAGCAAACTGCCAACATCACATACATTTTGTACTTCCTTGGTTAAATATTTTAGCATGCACACAAAACAGAATTCTAAACAGCAATGCTAGACAGGATTTATTGAAGTGATAACAATTACTCCCTACTCGATAAACGTGAAATAAGTCAGGCTTCAATCAGGATAACTCTGAGTGCAACAACTTTCGCATTTGATTCGATTTACTCAAATTAAAAGAGTATTCGACACAAAATGACCTCATGCAATTTTCAACTTTCCAAGACTGTTTACCACTTATTTATAATAAGACAGTTGTATTACAAAAATAATACATCATGAGAAACAGAATTCCTCTACAAAAACCATACACTACAGGCAATATAACATTCTAGCAATACAAATGGTATGAAGTATAGGTTGCAGGAATGTCAATCACTAACTCAATAGGTGTTGAATCTCATCATACATATACAAGTATATATAGTATTCTATTCTGTGTGTCTCGCATTTTCTTCTGATATGAAAATGCCATTTTTTCAACAACATATGCTACAAGGCAGGCAAATTTGTGCACTTGGGTGGGAAGGTTGTAGGAATGTCAATCACTAACTCAATAGGTGTTGAATCTCCTCATACATATACAAGTATATATAGTAATCTATTCTGTGTGTCTCGCATTTCTTCTGATAGGGAGATGCCATTTTTCCAACAATATATGCTACAAAGCAGGCAAATTTGTGCACTTGGGTGGGGGTGGGAGGGTTGTAGGAATGTCAATCACTAACTAATAGGTGTTGAATCTCATCATACATATACAAAATGCACATAATTTAATATAGTCTTTTTAAGTAATCTATTCTGTGTGTCTTTCATTTCTTCTGAGAGGGAGATGTCTTTTTCCAACAATATATGCTACAAGGCAGGCAAATTTGTACACTTGGGTGGGGGAGGGTTGTAGGAATGTCAATCACTAACTCAATAGATGTTGAATCTCCTCATACATATACAAGTACCTATATATAGTAATCTATTCTGTGTGTCTTGTATTTCTTCTGATAGGGAGATGCCATTTTTTCAACAAGATATGCTACAAGGCAGGCAAATTTGTGCACTTGGGAGTTGAATAGGGCAGATGAAACCTGCACTGTATCTGTTTGGGAAGACACACTAACCCATTATATTGCACATCTGGTAAAATATATACAGTAACAGAACTGAGCCTATAATTTGTATAAAAATCTGTGCTGCCAAGTGAAACGTCTTTCGTTCAATAATCCAAGAACGAAAGAATAACCTACTAGTACTGCATAAAACAAATTGATGCCTATTTATTAAGTTAACCCATTTTTCATGATTACTAAACATGAGCAAAATAACAAGGAATGAAAGTAGGGTAATTTGAATACTATTTTCATAATAGTCACTAGATTTGAAATCAAGCATGGATCTTTCAACAATATGGAATCTGAGTTTATTTATTACTGGGAAAAAAATTTCGTGCATAATCCTTATCAAATAGGCACGCAAGCTTCATCTGTTGTCAAAAGTACAAAAGAAAGCCATGCAAATTGGGCAAATATTGAGTAGCTATTAATTCCAAGGTCTACAGCAGCCACTATCATCACACGCGATGAAAATGATTTGCTTCCCGGGGTCCTAGGATCATCAGCATAAATGAACAAACTCAATTCCTTATTTTCATGTTTACCAATTAGGCGATTGTCTAATTACAAATGTAGTATACACAAGATTTCTCCAGCACGCACTAACATTGACTGCCAAGAAAATGTGAATAAGATAATGCAAATACATGTACCATATTAAATTCTATCATTTGTTCTATTTTATTAAATTATATTATCTGTTGCTATTCCTTGTCAAGTGCAATGAAAATGAGCTGCTGCTAATATGAATACAAGACAATGTAGGAACAATTTTTGATCTTGTAGGCTTAGTTTATCACTAAACAACAAAAATGGCAGGACAAAGTCTAATGATTTGTGCCGAATAATGCATCCACAATGGAGTGTGCTGTAAAATCTGTATTAGAAACCGCGGCTTCTATTAAAATGGCACAATGCAATAAAGGGGATGCGCCTTCTATTAGAGCACCTACACATATGAGAAATGATGAATTTTTGGTTCTCAATTGCTCAAAAAGAATGGGTGCGACTTCTATTAGGGATATGCTCCTAATACAGAATTTACGGTATAATTTTTACTGATACCTAAGGTTGATGTGACAGACATATGTAATCAAATTTTCTAAGTTTTCCAACCATGACTTGATTTATATAATTAGTTTTCTACATGATGGAAATTATGAAATTGATGACAATGCCAATATCACTGTAAGTACAAGGTTAAAGGCAACAGAAAGGGCATATATTTTTCTATTAATAAGAAGAAACAAAAGCTTGATGATTTAGGTGACCCCAGTAAGCACATGTTAATGTACATAGACAACGGTAACCTGAACTCCTTTTCCAATACTAGTCGTGTGTTTTTGACATGTGCACATATTTTAAAACGGCAACGATTTTAAGATTAATTCAGGCTAAAGACACCAATGGTAAAAATGGTTTTCTATCATGCCATGAAAATTTACCAGGTTGCTAGCAATTGTAATTTCATTAGTGATGGTGTTTTATGTGAGCAAATAATTGTGGATGTTGGTAACTAAGATTGAATGTACTCAACAAATGGTGGCGTTACTTTTTACTTTACCACTCAATCTTTTGAATGAGGTCATTGAATATTGACCTCTCTTACGAGACTGTCCTAATTCATGTCAAACACTGATCAATATCTATCAAATTATATTCGACCTAAAGTGAGTAAAAAGGATAGATAAACTACCGGGTATTACATTTTCAAATAGTTTATGAACATAAATGTAATGTAACAACAATCTGGAGTAGCATTTACACTTGTTTTTCCAAGAAATCTATTTTTACAATGAGAAACACATTGATTCATAAATAAACACATAGAAGAAGCAGGAAGCATTTTCGTTTTTGTCTGTCACTTCACACGTATACGCGTCTATTGCACGTTGTGGAAATTTATGTGACAACGACATATGATTCATCTAGGGGTTGTATTTTAGTACTCTCATGTAGCATTCAATTTTATGGCTGAAGCTTTTAAAATTCCTTTGAACTGATTGAAATTGTGCCTCCATGGCCCATGGCCATTTTTAGCTCTGTTCATATACAGTATACGAATTACAAATAATTTGTGGCACGAATACATACATGTACTATCTTTTCAGCCAGTATGTTTTACCGATTAAGCTAACTGGTATTTTAGTGACGAAAAATGATCAACCCTTTTCCCTGCCAAAATTTTGAAAATTGTTATACATGTTTTTGGAATTTCTTTTTTAATTTTGAAGTAAATAGACAATTTTAAATTGCCTACAGCTCTTGTGAAAACTAATAACTAGTAACTAATTTGCATATGTAAAAGTTTCTTCTCCAGTTTGTATTATAGTATTTATCACTATACAACAAGGCAAAGTAGTATAATTTTATGTCAAGATGTCACTAGTAATTTATTTTATCATCAATAAAAGGTTAACAAGAACTCTTAAATAATTGAGGACGGGATATAAAGGTTCTTATGAAGAACAAAAATATGATTACCATAAAAACTCAATTTGCAGTAGTAATAATAATTGTGTTTTTTTCAAGCGTGTGAATAGGGTACAGATGTAAATTTGTTTCTTATGCGTGAATTAATAGAATAATTTTTAGTTTATTCAATAAACAGTGATTTATATTTTTTCGGATGAAAATGGAGACGGATAGAATGTAACATTAGCCATGATATGATCTAGCATTGACAAGTTTTGAGACAATCCGATTGAGCTTTGTACAATATGGTGCAAAACTAGATTGTTTTCCCCAAAAATTCTAATACAAGTAATACAAATTCAAGGATTGGTTCATCCATGACATCCATATATGGTAGCGATGAACTTTCAACCTTTTAACAACATAGCATAATTACTAATTCTAACCGCATTGAGTGGGGGAAATGTTACATTCTATAAGCCACATGCCCCACAGTTACATTTATAACAGATAGTTGAAAATATTGAAGATCACGTTTCATTGAAATCTATGCTTGTACAATGCGTTGCGTTCGTACGGTAATTTAATAAACATAACACATACATAAAGTATCCCCCTCTATAATGCATCCCGCAAACAAGCCTAATTAGCATATCATAAGAAAATGAACACTGATTCAACATGTAATCCAATATCACAGCAGTGGACGACAGTTTC